ACACCCGAATCACTGTCTTCGTGTTTGGGTTTGGGTTTGGGTTTGGGCTTTGCTTTGTCAATGCGTCGACGAGCAATGAGTTCTTGATCTGGGGGCGCAGAGCCAGAGTCCGCCTCAGCCTTCGGCTTCATATCCTCCTTATCCATCGGCTTCACGGTGCCTTCCATATCTTCAACAATCTTGAGGATCTGTTTGTGAGTGAAGACCAAACCATCGTTGGTAGGCTTTGTAGAATCGTCGTTCCCTTGACCCTCTGAGGCCATAGCCTGTCGCGCCCGGCCTGTCGCAACATCTCCGAGGACGTCGGGGAAAATCCAAGGGAAGCTAATGAGAGGAAGCTCAGTGGAGTTCACTTCAACAATGGAAAGATCTTCTCTCTGTTGTGCCTCATTGCGCCGAACCTCCAGTGCTGCGGCTACCTGCTCCTGGGTAACACGATACATTGCGATGACCAAGGCAGGAACGTTTCCACCATCACGGCCAACTTTGTCATAGCACTGGTGGCGGAATCCGCGGCGGAGTGTGCCCACGATCCTGCCTAGGTCTTCCTGCATCTTGTAGTCTTTGATTACGAAGCCGTGGCGGAGTACAAAAGTTGACCACACCTCAAACTCAGTGTTGATCTCATACTGTGCCATGATTTGTCGCATATTCATGTCAAATTCCGCCTTGAGCTCGCGGGCGTATTCCATGTAGCTCTCACTTGCTGGAGCCAGTGGGGATTCTAGGATACGAGAGTCGAAGGGCTTTTCTAGCTTGGGAACGAAGTCAGGGGTTACTACTGCGTCATACAGCTGACCGAGAATTTTGGTGGACTTATAGATGCTGGATGGTCTTTTGAACCGCTTTTCCATGAAATGGGGCCAGAACTTGGGATCCAGAGAGCGGGCCATTCTCGCATGCGCACCGCTCTTGTTATAGTCCACTGCATCAGAATGAAGCTGGGCGAGACGAATGCACTTGTCTTCCCAGACGCCTTTCGGGAGTCTGTCAGCCCAAGCTAAATGAGCGTGTGCAATTCGGGGAAGGCAGTCATTCTTCATATAGGTGACGAAGAATGAAGTGATCTCATCAACTGTGACATCGTGATCAATGTCTGGCGCTTTGGAACCCTTGTAGTCCATGCATTCGACGAACCAGTTTGCGGGAATCAGATCGGGGTCCCAAATAACGAGGTAGTCATCACCGTCGAGGTCACCCCCGGAGCACATGCTCGCAATGTCCTGGTCGCCAGTTTGGGGAAGCACAACCACGTCCCGGAGTGCTTGCAGCTCCGGTCGGTTCACTGCTCGAACCACACGGATATCTCCAGGGTGAAGCGAAGGGTTGCGCGCGAGAATGCAGAGACCTTCAATGACTTCATACTCGCCGTCTCCATCTAGCCGGCAGATCTGTACAAATATCTCAGGAAGAGCGGCCAGTTTCTCTGCATACGAGGCTCTTCTGCGAGGCAATTCGTTTTTAAAGTAGCCCTTCAAAACACCTGTCTCGTCCATGACACCGAGAAGGTTGGCCCCTTGCTCTATGGCAATTTTTGCTTTCTCTTTGAGGTGCTTCAGATGCCAGGATTTCCAGAGCTCGAGCATGGTATTGGCAAACGGCTCCTCATTTCGTCGGAAGCCATCAGATACCATCCGAGCCAAGGTTAGGGTCGTTTGGTTTGGGTCGATGTACTTCTGGAGAAGATTAATTGCTTTCGAATCATTGAGCATGGCTCGATGGAAGCTACCCAACATGGCGTTGAGTTTAATATGGAAGACCTTATCTGAGATACCCAATGCAGAAAGCACGAGGATTAACTGGCGGTTTAAAGTTGCGAGAGAATACTGGGACCAACGAATGATCTCTAAGCCGGCTTGATTGGTTTCGAACTTTTGCTGACTTGGTCGTAAGTGTACCTCCTGAGGCAGAGGATCCGTAGAAACAACCAGCATGCCCTTGGCTCCCCCAAGACGAAACTGGAAAGCCGAAGGAGGTACACCAGTGAGAGTCTTAATACTGTGCTGGGATGTCACCATCTGGGCGAGGAATTTGGAAATCTTTCCAACACCATCCGAGAACGTGAAGCCGTTGCGGACAACGTCATCGCACTGTACAGTTTGAACTGAGGATCCAGTGAAAGCTCGGGTGGTCGAGAAGCATTGTCCTAGTCTTGCAGCGTATTTGGCCACGTTTCGAATATGGTTGAATTGGCCCATCCAGGCCCGGATAGTTGCCGCTGAGATACCGGCATCCGGTGCAAAGAAGTATGCACCATGCTCGCGGAACTGAGAGTTGCCGAATGCGAGGAACTCGTACCGACGATCTCCAATGGTGATGCCGTTGGCCAGTGTCCTTTTGACACGGGTGTAGATTTCATCGTTGCAATCCCTCTGTGAAGCATTGATGCGACCTTCAGTTCTCTCATCTGTGAATCGAACTCGAAGAAAGCGCCCAGGTGCGCCTTTCGTAGACCATTCGCGTACGACTCGATTTGAGATGTCTACAGTTGGGGTATTGTAGTAAATTGTAGTTGGAGTGACTCGTGCTGTGTGCATGAAACAACAGTAGCTCGGAATCTTTGAGTCAGTCACTCCTTTGAAGAATATGAGGTCAAAGATTTCCATGGGGTCAAGGTACTGTTTTTTCTCGGTCGCAACGAACTCTAGCAGTCTTGTAGCTTGATCATCCCCGAGAGCCTTCAACGTCTCTACGAATTCGCGGGTCGTGGTGAATTCGGAGAGGTATCCCTGGGATAAACAAACCTCTAGTTGATACCGGACCTTGAAGGGGAGGTGTAGGTAGTTCTGATCTCCCAGGTCTTGCAGCAATGCGGAAGCCTTGCTTGACTTGGACTCAGAGAAGTCAATCCAATGCCACACTGGTACTGGTCGGTCTGCTTTCTCGACAAAGTGGCTCCCATCTTTGATGGTGATGTTATAGTCCTTGAAAATGTCTGCGACGAGCATCAAATAGTGACTGGTATCGTCGAAACGATGCATATTGGGGTCCACGTCGGGTGCGAATGAGATCTTGAACACGTTCCATCGCCCTGTTAAGAAAAACTGGTAAGCGTAAGAATTATAATGAATGTCGGTACTCACCCAAATCAATGATATGTCCAGTCTTCTTCAAATTTGTGGGAAGAGTCTTTAGCTTGTTCGGGTTATGTGTCACGGAGGTCTGGCGATACCAACTGTCGTCTTCTCTCCAGCTCAACGGCTCTGTCACTGTGGACCGAATGTCTTTGGCCTTTCGGTGCCAAATGGCGGCGGAGTCAAGGACAATCAAAAAGGAATGTTCACTCGTGGCTTTGTCGTACTGTTTGTAAATTTGGGACAGTTGGAGGAATGTGACTTTGACACGATAGTCATGCTGGGTTACGTCTGCAGTGTCCGATCCCCGAATGCCCACTTTGAAGTAAAGGAACAAGCACTTACGCATCACATCCACAACACATCTGGGGTATGCCAAGTTGGTAAAGCTTTGCATGGAATGGAAGGTGGACAGGCCTAGCAGGACACCGATGTCAACTTGTACAGTTTTCAATTCCTTCAAAGTAACTATCAGTATTGGATAATAACTCTATAACATGCATGCACTTACCAGTTCACCGGGGAGCTGGACATCTGGGCGGACTGGGCTCTCGATGGTTCCGTTCGAGTCACCACAACAGACACAGAGGGAGATGACTGTAACACGGCCACTCCGTAGCTTCACACCGAAGGAGCCGGTTCTCCAGAATTCCTCATTTGGAGGGGGTCTATAGATAGTCAGTGGAAATTATCAAAGCAACATGACGAATTGACAGGATGCTCACTTGAAACGAATACGCCCTTTGGAATCAGGACGTCCAGAGGCGTCCTCCCAAAGGTCAATGGAAATCAGATTTCCGTACCGATGGAAAGCCTCGTAGATATCGTGGGTGTTCATTTCTCTCGGGATATTCAACAGGTCCACCGCGCAAGTCCTCCATGATCTCCAGGTTATCCAGTCCCGGACTGGTGAGTTGCGACGAGCAGGGCCAGGTGGGTTGGGGGGAGCCATTCTCAAGATATTGGACTTTGGGTGTTGCAAACTGGGGAGATCTGGACCTGCCATCATGTGCTTATAAGGCAAGAAGGCAAGTATCACGAAGAAGTTGAAGAAGTTGAAGAAGAGGAAGAAGGGAAGAAGGGTGAATGTGAAGGATTAGAGAATATATAGGAAGGAACTGCGGAAGAACCGCAGTGAATACAAGGAAATAAGAACCTTCCAAAGAGTTTACACAGACGGAACATTGGAAGGTGTAGGAACACTTTTAATAGGGAAGACCTTCTTGAATCGCAGCCCCGGAGGTGAGAGAACTACTAAATGAGGCACAAGAAGACACGGCAGACATGGAATGTGAGCGTTCGTCCGATCAGATCAGTTTAAATTTAGCCAAGTGAGAAAGAGCAATCTTATATGCATCTTACATGTACTCATGAATGAGACCTCGTTAGACTATTGTTATCTGGTTATTCTTTCTCAAGAATGACGCCAAACTGAGAATTCATACACTGTATGAATAGTTTAAATATGGCTACTCTTTGGAGCGACCATTTCCGACCTTAGCCAAATTGATATATCTTCATTTAAGGATAGGTTGCCCGGCACACTGAAGTGATGTCCTAATGAGGAATAGGTTATTTACTACCTAGCAAGCTGAAGAGGCAGTGAGACCAAAAGTTTGTATATGTGCCGTATACTAGAATGTTGGCAAATACCGGAAAGACAAATAAAAAGCAGCTAGGAATCTCCTTTGCTTAGGAGTGTACAAGCGAATAAATCGCTGTCTAGGTAGAAGAAACTAAGGCGAATAATCTGAGGAAAATGAAATGAAGGGACATACTCCAAAAATTGGGCTTTGTGGTGTATATTATTGACTACACAGAAGTTGTACATACTAGGAATAACACATCGGAAACCAACAGATACCATGGACATGATGCAATTATCCAAGACATACTACAGTCACAACTCTGCTACCAGCAACCTTCTCACTGCGGGGCAATCTGATCCGTTGACCCAGTAAAAGCAGCGCTCGAAAAGAGAGAGTCTCTGGAAAACTCAAGATCCATATCCAGATCCAGATTGTGATTTTCCTCAGAAGTTCCCTGGACCCGTGTCTCCTGGAAAGGTTCATCCACCTGATTGCGTTTCAATGCACTGTTCGACTGTGATTTCGTCGGGCTGTTGCGGTCCGCCTCTGCCAGTGGCTTTCTCACGGAGCGAGACATGCCGCTGGTAGGCGGGCTTTTTGCCTTAGGAGCTGCTGGGAAGGGAGTGTTCAAATTGTAAGGCAGGTTCGTTGATTTGCGATTCCCTCTTGGTCGTTTTGGGGTACGTTCGTTGAAGTTTGAGGTCATGGACTCAAAGGACTGTGCCAGCTGTGTGCCATCTTCATCATCGCTTGTGGGTTGCGGGATCCTTGCGGCTGGAGTGGTGTCGAGAGAGGACCTGGTCCGTTGGTGTTTTGGAGGGGCGTTTGATTCAGGGGCATTTGCAGAGAAGCCCATTACGCCCATTAGACGACCAATGTGTTGTTGTGCCTCTGAAAACTCGCGGGCCTTGGCAGTACGTTCGTCTCGTAAGGCTTGCACCTGAATTTAATGTTAGAGTGTGTAGATCTTGCATACACGATGGTATTAATTACCTTTCTCTCCAAATGTTGGATCCGTTTGTCTTTTAATTGGGCATCTTTAGAAGCATCAAGAGCGGCTGCTTGCATAGCAGTACGCAATCGCCGATTTTCCGTCTCGTGCTTCGCTATCTGTTTCGGCACATAATTAGTTTCACTTATACGCAGGTTTGGTTCATGTGTACACATACCTCAGATGTGGCCCGAGAAGCTTCGGCTTCACGGTCATGTTTCAGTTTTTCAATCTCGCTCCGCGATTTTTCCTCGGATTCTTCCAACGTAGAATAGAGCCTGTCAACTTCAATATTCTGTTGCGCAACCTAGAAATAGTTAGTATAGACGAATTCGTATTGATTGTTGCTAAAAAGACCGCCAAAACGACTGTCAAAAGGACTCACCGCTGTTTCCAGGGAACCCATTTCCTTTCGCAACTCTTCCTCCTGGGCCAGGAGACGGTTCACTTCATCTTCTTTCTCATCAGCAAGAAGCCTGCCTTGCTTCAATTCCTCTATCGCGCTAGCAAGTTCTTGCTTCAAAGAGCGACAAAGTTCGGATAGTTTGGCCTTTTCGCTTGTGACTTGATCAAGACTCTGACGTGTCTGCTCATTCTTCACTTGCAAACTGGACATCTCCTCCTGAAGCTCTTCCAGTTGATCGTCCTTTCCAGTTAGAGTAGCGATCGACTCCAGTTCCTTAGATCGGGCCTTCTCCTTTTCGACAAGAAGTGCCTTCTCGGAACTCCGTTGCTGCTGCTGAAGCTCCTCGCGGGCGGATTCGAGCGACCTATTTAGCTCATCGGTATATGTGTATTGACCTTGAAGGAGATGCTCAAGGCGTGTGTTCTCGTGACCAAGTTCAACAAAAGATTCTTGTAAGTTCCGTAACTTAGTTTTAATCTCTGTGTTTTCGGTACTCAGTTGCTCTTTTTCGCTCGCGTATATGTCCCGCTCTTCTTCAGCAGCTCGCAGTGGTCCTTCAATATCGTAGCAGCGACGCTCTAGGTCAGAGCACGTATCCTCGATCTTCCTCATCATGCTGTCGTGAGAGGTCTGGGCATTCTGCATGAAGAGCTCGGTAACTCCAGATCGCCAATTGCGGTTTATCTGAGTCGACGAGAGGTTATCTGTGTCGCGCAAGGTGAGGGAGCCATGGAAGGCTTTGGGAGTTGTCGTTGAGAAGGCACAGTCGAGGCTCGGCATTGATTGCTCCACTCGTCGCATAAAGGACTTCATGATAATGTCGCTTCCGTTTTGCGCCGTCGCCGTGTTGTAAAGTCCCAATAGAGATAGAAACAGCCTGTTTTGCTTTGTGTATAGCTCGGATGCACACCATGCTCGACCACTGCATTGGCTTTCGCTTGGCTTCCGGGGAAAGTGTTCAACCATTTCCCCGAGAACTTCCCTCAGAGGGACCATGGAGTTGTCGACACTAGAAAGCATGACCTCGGGATGTACTTCTTGCACACCAGCCAATACCAAGTGTGCCAGATGCAGTGTGGCCATCTCTCCAGTCTCCGACCATCTACTACCTCTTAAGACGTCAAAAGTGAAGGTCAGAAGTTGACGAGTAGCAGATTCCCCAGATTCCTGTTGATGTCAGCTATCAAAAGTTGCCAACGGACAGGAGCTCTCATACTGACTGCTAAAGACTTTGCGAGGCGTGGGATTAGTTGATGTGGCATCTTTCCCACGGTCTCTTGGCTGTTCTTGGACAAAAGGACCTTTATGCCAAATTCCCGTAGCTGGGATGGCAATAGATGTGCTGGGAGAAGTGTGTGCAGAAAGACGATTACCTGTCATTAAATGATTAGCATTTAGTCTCGATACGCGAACAGCTATAACCTACCATCGTTTGTGTTTGGCCATAGAGACCATCTCTGACAGCCTTCTCACATAGCTTAGCAATCTTAGGATTATTACCTGCTATCCAAGCCTGTTTCTGCTCAGGCTCAATTGCTTCAGCGATGCAAATCGCCAGCCGGATGCTCTCAGCCGCCTCAGAGGGTGCCAGATTGCAACTGGATGAGCAAGCTAGTATAACACGCAAGACAACCAAGTCAAGTGTTTTGAGGCCTCGTTTCTGGCCAAAGAAATGATTAATGTTAAGAAGCCATGGCGCTTCTGATCCGTGTTTATTTTGAGATGTTGTACCTAGTGCCGACGCAATCTGTGCAAAGGTTGCCAGACACAAGAGGTTGCCCATATGGTCGTCGAGGTTGCGCAGTGTCTTGGTGAACTCCAACTGGAGATTGGACATGACCTCGCACGGAATATCATTCAATATCCTTGGCGAGCCTTTGAGTCCTGAGATGAGTGCGTGAAGAGGTGCTACAGTCTCAGCGCAGGGATTTTCTGCCATGATGCTGACCATCCTCGTGATGAATGGGGCAACCCTAGCTGGCGGCACAACACCCGCTGGCAAGGGCGATGAGAATAATGCGATACATGCCGATAAAGACTGAAATCATTAGCTGACGCCCTCCAGCTAGCATTTGTTGGCTCCAAGGCACAAAGCTCACCTCAGCCCCATTAGTTTCCACGGCCTTTTCTAAAAAGACATCCAAAATCACCGGATGTCGCTCGAGCAGCGCATCTCTAAAGGACGGTGTAGATGCTAAACCATGTCAGACTTGAGTCCTAACAAGACTTCCATTGAGCACAAACCGAATGCAGTGATCAGAGGCAGAGCGACGCGTGACCGTGATAAGGCTTCGATCAAAACATCAGCCAACAAGCCAACTTGGCAGGGTTTGCAAAATGCCCAGGCGCCAAATGTCGAAGATTGGCTTCGCTGCACCAAATCATTGAGATCCTGATATTATTAGCATGTATACTCCAAAGCCAATCTCCACCGACTTACCTGTAACGAAGGTACGTAAGGTGCGGTGACTATGCGTTCCACCTCGCGCACTAGTTGAGCGAGTTGCTCTGCCATCGCTTTAGGATTGCATATATGTTAAGTGTTAAGTGGATATAGTGGTTAGTAGGCGATTCATTCGACTTCCAAAAGGTTGTGTTGGGTGTACGAGGTTCTCTGCCCCGTCCGTTGCCCCGTCAACCGACATCTTTACTCTCTCTACTTTGAGGTCTCTTTGATCAATTATTAGTAAGTTATATGTGAGATAGTATTAAACTGTGAATATAAAATACAACGACATTCAAGTTCTGCCTTTTTTTGAAAGAGAAAATAAAAAGAAAAACCCGGTCTATTACCATAAACTATGACCTCGGCCTTTTACTGCCTACTCCTTGCTCCCGAGGTTCGACACCTTTGAATATCTTAAAAGACTTAATTTCCACGTTACTACATAATTGCTCTATCTTTCTATACAAAAATGAGTTGTTCAGATTAAATACACAGTTATAGCATACATTATTTCATGTATAAGGAACATCTGGGCAGGAATAGTTATGCGGCATTATCATGTCTTTTTAGTACCTCCCCTCATTATCATTCCAGGGTTATGGCTAGATAAGAATTGTACAGAATCTGAACTGCATCTGAACTGCCGTACGGAATTATTGCGCACCCCGTTTCTGTTTCTATTCGCCCCCACGTTTGGCTTCTCCACATCTTCGGTAATGGTGGAGAGTGGGATATCGTGAAATTATAGTGGATTATGGCACTATAAGGGACCAATCTACCTCTCTCGGCCGAAGTCCGAGATCGAGGTACAAAAGGCCGGTCACATCATGCGGCAATAAGTCATTTCTTCCTTTTTTATAGCGCTCTCTCTAATCTCTTCATATAATTCTCCTTCACAATGCGACCTGTGCTCCGGGTCTCAGCACTACCGGCCCCGGTTTGTCGGCCCCAGATCTCGCGCACTATTCTAGCTCGGGGCGCTCGATTAAATAGTTCCGATGCCAGGAAAACAGATAACGCGAAAGAGAGCAATTTCTCATCTACAAACACTCCACCCTCACCCTTCTGGACCCCAGCCAAGGCTCTACTCGTCTCCGCATTTGCTGCGGGGTTAGGCTACGGCGTCTCCTCATATACCCAGCCACCGGCACAGACATCCAAGAAGCCACAATATGGCTCAGTGAAGGAGTTTGAAAAGGTAGGTCACTCAACTGCAACAGCATAATCCCACACCAGTCCAGGGCCATCCAAACTAACAACTTCCCCCAGGCCATCGACGAGCTAAGAACAAAGCTTGGCGAAGACACAATCAGCACCGACAAAGACGAACTCCACCAACACGGCTTCTCAGAATGGTCGAGCCTAAACGCCGACCGTCTCCCGGTCGCAATCGCATACCCCAAGACCACCGAAGAAGTCTCCGAGATCGCCAAGGTATGCAACAAATACCGCATGCCCATGATCCCCTACTCGGGCGGATCAAGTCTGGAAGCCAATTTCTCCGCCCCGCACGGCGGAATGACAATCGACTTCGCCTTCATGAACAAAGTCCTGGATATCCACCCAGATGACATGGACGTCGTCGTGCAGCCCTCCATACAGTGGATGGATCTGAACGAGCAGATCAAGGAAACAGGCATGTTCTTCCCCGTCGACCCAGGTCCATCCGCCATGATCGGCGGTATGGTCGGCACAAACTGCAGCGGCACCAACGCCGTCCGCTACGGTACCATGAAGGACTGGGTGATTAACCTCACGGTGGTCCTGGCTGATGGCCGCATCATCAAGACCCGCAGACGTCCGCGCAAGACTTCCGCCGGCTACAATCTCACCGGCATGTTTGTTGGCTCAGAGGGTACGCTCGGTATCGTAACTGAGGCTACGTTGAAGCTGGCTCCCATCCCGGAACAGACTCGCGTTGGAGTCGTCGCGTTCCCGACTATTCGTGACGCGGCCTCGACGGCTATGCAGGTTATTCGGAAGGGTGTCTCTGTGCAGTGCATGGAGATCATGGATGATGTTCAGATGGACGTTATTAATCGGGCGGGTGGAACCGGCCGTGAGTGGAAGGTCTCTCCTACGCTGTTCTTCAAGTTCTCGGGAACTGTCGCCGGCGTTGCGGATAGTATCGACATGACGACAAAGCTCGCTCAGGGTAACAATGCGGAGTCTTTTGAATTCGCTCGTGATGATCGCGAAGCTCATGACCTGTGGTCGGCGCGGAAACAATCGCTGTGGAGCATGATGGCTCTACGTAAGGAGGGATCAGAGGTCTGGTCAACTGATGTAGCCGTGCCTATTTCTCGACTGCCTGATATTATTGGTATGGCCTCTTCAAGACTTAATTTGTTGCATGTATACTGACTCCTGCCAGAAATCTCCAAGAAGGAATTGGTTGACCTAGGCCTTTTCGCCAGTATCCTTGGCCACATCGGCGATGGAAACTTCCATGCAAGCATTATGTATGACCGTAACGATCCCGCCGAGAGGGAGCGGGTCGAGAAAGTAGTGTACGATATGGTTGATCGTGGGCTGGAAATGGAGGGCTCGTGCACGGTAAGTCGTCCATCTTGGAGATCCCAGAATATCAGCTAATTCAGTACTGCAGGGCGAGCACGGGATTGGGCTGGGCAAGAAAGGATCTTTGAAAAAGGAAGTTGGGCCGGACACAATTAATGTCATGCGCAGTATCAAGCGTTCATTGGATCCGAACTGGCTGCTGAACCCTGGCAAGATCTTCGACTACGACGATGAAACACCGGGCCCAGGACATTGACTGTGATTACATTTTATACAACATAGAAGAACAATTTCCAGATATCCTAGTTGAAACGGTGCGAACAGTTGGTTTCTATTCTCATACCTGTGGCGTTTGCTCAGAGCCCAGAACCTGAAAGTATCGCTCGAAAAGAGTCGCACTCCACTGACAGCCAGTGCCTGAGCTCGGTATGTCCGTAGGCTCACCGGCCAGTTCCAAGTGAGATGAACCGTCGATAGCTGTCGGAGCAGCCGCGGCAGCATTCCCTAACGCCCACATACCGGGAAGTTGTTCCTGGGCTTCTGATTGCATGGCCGGCACCTCAGAACGACAGTTCAGAGCTATGGGTTCCAGCTCGCCCGGGGAAGAACGAGAAGAACCAGTATCGTCTTCTCTCTGGCGCTTCAATGCTCCCAGACCAAGCTGTTGTGGTGATTCTGAAACCATGGTGTGTGATTCTTCGAAGCCGCTGTCATCATCTGGTGAAGCAGCCCATTGGGATGGATTGATCTGTATCATGTCCCGAGAAAATAGAGCCTTCGTGTGGAGTTCCTCAATATTCACCCAGCGGCAATCACCCCGGGCATCACCGTCCTTCTTCAAGTAATTGTATGTTTCATTGACCGCCTGCCATGCCAAATCCAACGCCTCCCCTTTTGGGGCCAAAGAAAGATTGATAAGTAGGCATGTCAAGGCATCCCATTCGGCGTGGTTTTGGAGACTCCAGAGCCACTGCCTGCCCTTTTCATAGTGTCTCAATGACGAAGTTTTCTGCAGAATCTCTGTGCAAACTTTCCGGAAGTTCACATGCGTGAGCATAGACTGGTCTTGTCTCGCTTGGAGTTTTATCACTGCCAGTTTAAGCTTTGCGAGCATCAGATTGCTGGAGACAGTTGTAAAATAGTCTAGCGCAATACTTTGATCTAGATGCGATAAATATTGCTGTTCCACTTTCTCTTTGAAGAGATCTATCGCCGTGCACTTCTGTGGAGTTGATAGAACCGGGTGACAGTCCTCTTCGGAAGACTGGTCAGAGAAGATAGTTCGGTGGGCAAAATTGCTGATTTCGGACCTTGCGAGGCTCAACACCATCTCCGTTTTCCCGCTGCAGTTTCTAGGTGGGTCCTTCATGTCAGGGTCAAGACTTGCGTCGCTCACATTCGAAGGGAGTCTTGTGTCGAACCATGACTCCAGAATACGCGGATCCGTGCCAGTGTCCTCTGCAATAGTAATATCGAGAATATAGGTCTGCCACCAGAGTCGACGCCGCATTTCGACTTGAAAGGGTGGTAGTCCTGAAGTAGATGCGTCGCGATGCAGGCCGATCTTGAGGGCAATTCCAATGGCAGTCCCAATTAACTTCCTAATGTCTGGTCCTTTATCATAACCCCTGCTGCAAACCTAAAGGAATTGTCAGCTAAATCAGACCTCATCTCGTTTCGGCATCACCTACGATGTATATAACAAAGGCTTGCAGGACATCCATGTCCGATGACTTCAATAAGTCGGCTTTTGCGAGGGAGCTTTCAACTCCAATGCGGTATCTTGATATATTAGCAGGATGACGTATGACTTTAAACCGGAGACATACCTTTTTAATACTTCATGTCTGTCCTCATCAAGTTCAACCCTACAATCCTCCACTGTCATGGTTGCCACAGCAGCATAACAAACGGCAAATATCAAACACTCCGTGGGTGCTCCAAGGGCCTCTCGATATTCAGTGTTACTCAATATCTGTCTCTGGAACGTTGGTGTATGTAGAATTTTGAGGATTGGCTCCACGTTCTCCAAGTACTTCTGCCATAGGAAAGATACCAGAACCCGGGGAGGGCGAAGATACTCAAGTGCGGACGTCGGGAGAGCTTTGAATAAGGGTGGACTTTGATTCAGAACCCGTTCATCATAGCTGCGGCTTTCATGGGGCTGTTGTACTTGGTCATGACCATGACTTCCACCAACAGACGGCGATGAAAATTGAGTATGCACAAGCCCCTGGAGTTGAGAGAGACTTTGCTCAAAACTTTCTAATGTACGTTCAATTCTTTCAATGCGGACTGCCATATCATCGCTAGCTTTATTGCCCTCGGTAATAGCATGCTCCGCTCTTGGTGGCGGATAGCTGCATTGTATCTTGACTTTGACGCAGTACGAGCAAGGCAGGATTCTGTCGCATTTGATTTTTCGTCGGCGACACTCAAGGCAAGAGCGCACTGTGGTGCTAGGTGGATGAACCATTGACTCGAAAGCTTGCTCAATTTCAAAGCTGTAGTAATAACTCTAGAGACTATCATAATGACTCTAGTAAGGAAATGTGAGGCTGCAAGTCAAGCCAACGTAAAGTTGCAGTTGATGTACGAGGCTATGAGTTGATTGGCTGGAGCGGAGATGCGGAGACCCCACTCCGCATTTCTAAGCGTAGGCGGGCCCCATGCACTTCGGAGACGGAGTAGATCGCATCGTCTTATTATTTCCCTTTGGAAAGTTGCTCTAGAGTCATTCTTGGTATTGTCTGGTTGGTTGAAGCGGGGGAACGGACAGGAAGTCCGTATTAATGTGCTCGGCAGCATTTGCATACAGAGTCTGTGATATGAAATCAACATCAGATAGAGAGAGCGAAATAGCGCAGGATTCGAACGTATAAAGCTGCCATTCCATCCATGATGCTGAATATTCCTCAACGAAAAAACACAAATCTTTTCATCCAAGATTAGTACTTCATCTACAGTGCAAGAACTCAAAATGGCATCCTATTTGAAGAACGTTGCAATTATTGGCGTACGTCAAGGCCATTCTCAAAGCATACGTGTTACTCCAGCTGACGACTTGGCAGGCCAGCGGCACCATTGGAAATTTCATCCTCGATGCCCTTGTTGCATCTTCGCAGTTCGAAATTACCGCCATCTCCCGCAAGGAGAGCGAGGCGACTTTCCCACCTGGTGTGACTCCTCTCAAAACCGATTACTCAGACACAGATCTCGAGGCTGCGTTCAAGGGCAAAGACGTCGTAATTTCGGCGGTGGGTGCCAGTGCATTTGGCGAACAGAAGAAGTTTGTCGATGCTGCCATCCGCGCAGGTGTCAAGCGTTTTATCCCATCCGAGTTCTCGGCGAATAGCCAGAACGATGCTGTGTTGCAGTTGCTGCCACTCTTTGGACAAAAGAAGGAACTCATCGAGTACCTCAAGAGCAAGGAGACCGAGGGGTTGACCTGGACTGGTATTGCTACTTCCGGCTTGTTTGACTGGGTAGGTCTTCCATCGCTTTAGAATTCTTGGGCTGGATCTAATCAGTGAGATTTGAATAGGGTCTCGCGAATGGCTTCTTGGAATTTGACGTTGCCAGTCATACGGCTACTATCTGGGATGGAGGCAACAAGAGCTTCACCCTAACCAATCAGAAGGCCCTCGGGGAAGCTGTTGCTTCTGTTTTGGTGCATCCTCATGAAACCAGAAACCGGTTTCTGTTCATCGCCTCGGTTGAAACTACACTGAAGGACATCCTTGCTGCTTTGGAGGAGGAGTCAGGAGTGAAATGGGCCGTGAACGAGACTACCACCGAGATTCAAGTCAACGAAGGAGTCAAAAAGCTTTCTGCCGGGGACTTCAATGGCGCTTTTCTTCTGGTTCGAGCCACTGTTTTTGGCAATACCCCGGGTCTCCATTCAAACTATGCCAAAGAGGAGAAGCTGGCAAACAATGTGTTGGGACTTCAATTGGAAACTGTCAACGACGTGGTCAAGCGTGTGCTTAATAAATAGATCAAAAATTTAGCCATATCATAGACAACTTTTGAGTGCCTTTGCTCTTTTCCTAGGACACCATAGAAAGAAAGAATGCAAACAAGCCAAATCTTTGGACGTTAAACTTTGACCACAGACCCACAAAGTCTGTCCAATCGGGGAGCAGTATTTTGTCCGAATTCAGAATGCTGACTAAGCGCGGGGCAAGGCAATTGGCTGAGAGCGATATCGCTGTCGAGGTGAAATGTTAGAAGCCTTCAACCCGATCATCAGCGAAGCTGTAAGTACAAATGTCGTTTCATATTGATATTTTTTTGTGAGATTCGCCTAGGACTCCATGCCAGGTGGCCTGTTAGACACTGAAGCTGGCAGAGCCTCCTATATACTGGATGCGGGGCTCTGGAAACGCTTTGACTCATACAGGCCTCTGGTGGAATATGACCCAATTCGGCATGGAACAGTTGTTGTTTTGTATATCTTTTAATTAATCGCTAGTTTTGACTTGTTGGAACTTTTGGTTTGCTAACTTACACAAGATTGATACCCGTTTTCATATAAAACTCAAAAGCAAAATGGCTCCTTCATACCCAAAGAAGAAGTGCGGTACGTTTTCGAATTTTACAGATCATTTCATGCATCGTTCAATCCTAACCCGTTACAGGCGTTCTCGGTGCCACTGGCTCCGTGGGCCAGCGCTTTATCCTATTGCTGGCAGATCACCCCTTCCTTGAGCTTCACGCCGTGGGTGCTTCTGAACGTTCAGCCAACAAAAAGTACAAGGATGCCGTGAACTGGAAGCAGTCTTCCCCCATGTCTGAGAAGCTTAGCAACTTGGTCATGCGTGACTGCAAGCCCGAACACTTCTCAGATTGTGACCTTGTCTTCTCTGGACTGAACAGCGATGTTGCTGGCGAGACTGGTATGTGGTATCAGATGCGTCAGATTTAACGAACTAGAGCATGTACTGACATTTCATGCAGAAATGGCATTTATTAAGGCTGAGATCCCTGTCTTCTCAAACGCAAAGAACTTCCGCAAGGATCCCATGGTGCCTTTGGTCGTTCCTACTGTGAACCCCCAACATCTGGATCTGATTCCTCACCAGCGCGAGCAGTACGGTCTCAAGAAGGGCTTCCTGGTCTGCAACTCCAACTGCGCTGTTATTGGCATCGTCATTCCCTTCGCAGCTCTCCAGGCCAAGTTTGGTCCTGTCGAGGAAGTTGAGGTTTTCACCGAGCAGGCCGTCTCTGGAGCAGGCTACCCCGGTGTACCTACCATGGACATCCTGGACAACGTCATCCCCTACATCAGCGGCGAGGAAGACAAGCTCGAGAACGAAGCCCAAAAGATTCTGGGTTCATTGAATGCCAGCTCCACCGGTTTCGACGAGCAGACTGGTCTCCGCATCGGTGCCACTTGCACCCGTGTTGGTGTCACTGACGGCCACATGGCATTCGTTTCCTTGCGTTTCAAGAACCGCCAGACCCCCACCGCCGAGCAGGTGAAGGAGGCACTCCGGGAGTACAAGTCCGAGGCACAGAAGTTGGGTGCTCCTTCCGCACCAGAGCCCGCGATTAAGGTGTTCGACGCACCCGACCGTCCCCAGCCCCGCCTGGACCGCGACATCTCCGGCGGATACACAGTGAGTGTTGGCCGAGTTCGTGAAGGTGCCCCAGGGGGTCACTTTGATATCCGATTCGCCGCCCTCTCCCACAACACCGTTATTGGAGCTGCTGGGTCATCCATCCTCAACGCCGAGGTTGCTGTTATCAAGGGCTACGTTTAAGATAGTTACGAAAAAGTGGAATTATCAGCGCATGTCAAATAGATACAAATTTTCGTACAAATGAATTAGATCTCATTCGTCTCGATGCCTAAAGGGGAAATTCACGTGTCTGCGGGTGGATCAGGGCCCCGAGCAGAGATGACATAAGCAAGCGTTAACAATCCACTAGTTCAGTCTGATTGGTCTGAGTGGAGAATAGGGCTCACAATCACCACACACTAAGCGAATTCCTCTCTGATTTGGATCATCACTTCTCAGCTTGAGCCTTCTCTTTCGATACTCCGACCACCTAACCTTCAGTCGACAAATCAGTCAAAATGCGCGGCCCGTAAGTTTCATGAGCTCGCCCTCTGCATCACTATTCTGCACACTGGCCTCGTCTATCTGTCGGACAGCGAGTTCAGCCAGTCGCTGCGAGAGTGATCGAAAATTTCTCGACTTGGAACATCACCACTAACGAGAATGTTTTTGCAGCGGAAAGCACCAGAAGCGCCTCAGTGCGCCCTCGCACTGGCTCTTGGACAAAATGTCCGGAACCTACGCGCCCAAGGCCTCCCCCGGTCCTCACAAGCTCCGGGACTGTCTTCCCCTGATTGTCTTCATCCGTAACCGGTACGCACGCGACATCCTAAATTCCTCGACACGCGACGAACAAGCTCTAACATTTCTTTTGTTGACAGTCTCAAGTACGCCCTGAACGGTCGCGAGGTCAAGGCCATCATGATGCAGCGTCTGGTCAAGGTTGACGGCAAGGTCCGCACCGACAGCACCTACCCCGCTGGATTCATGGACGTCATCTCCCTCGAGAAGACCGGCGAGCACTTCCGTCTCATCTACGACACCAAGGGCCGTTTCACCGTCCACCGCATCCAGGCTGAGGAGGCTGAGTACAAGCTCTGCAAGGTCAAGCGTGTTCAGCTCGGCAAGGGCGGGATCCCATTCTTGGTTACGCACGATGCGCGAACGTGAGTTCCACACTCCACTAGTTCCGTGTCATTCAGTCGTTGGACCAAGCTTTGGTTGATCGGCGGAGGACAATGGAAACAGTAAGATCCCATTAGATCAGGACATGGTTTGCTAACTTGCGTTTGCGCTCTACAGCATCCGCTACCCCGACCCTGCCATCAAGGTCAACGACACCGTCAAGGTTGACATTGCCACTGGCAAGATCGTCGACTTCGTCAAGTTCGACTCCGGTGTTGTCATCATGGCCACTGGTGGTCGCAACATGGGTCGTGTTGGTGTCATCACTCACCGTGAGCGTCACGACGGTGGTTTCAACATCGTCCACGTTCGCGATGCTCTTGACAACCAGTTCGCTACCCGTGAGTCCAACGTCTTCGTCATTGGACAGGAGAAGCCCTGGGTTTCCCTCCCCAAGGGTAAGGGTGTCAAGGTATGTTATATTCTCCAACATTGATGTTGTGAATTACTCTAACATTCTTTTCCAGCTCTCCATTGCTGAGGAGCGTGACCGCCGCCGTGCCCACGAGCTTGCCAACTAAATTCACAATATCTTCTGATATTCTGGATTAGCTGGCAGCTTAAAAACAAACACTAAAAACAGTAGCTGGGAAACGGCGTCTTGTCTTGCTTAACGGGCTTGGATAATGCATTCTCGTAGGTTCGAACCATAGCAAACAAAACAGGAACGGGTTAACCGCTTCGTTTCCGAGTGATATGATACCATTTGACGTTACCTCTTTTCGAATGATTTAATGACCGTATTTTTACTTTGTTTCCCTTGATCTTCGGCACTGGATGATTCGCTCTTCTAGCTTTTTGTGCTTGTTCCCTGGCCATCATCGTTCCGCAATCATCCAAGGCCCACTCTTTTATAAACCCCATGAAGATCAAGGAACACGTAGTTATTTTCTTTCGTAATCTGTAGTCGAGATGCGAATTCATGGCAACCCGTGACTGTTACTACAGTACGAAGCCTGCTGGCACCACCCTCTGGACCAAAGCTACTGCAATCTAAAGCCCCGGCTGATCCAGCGCAAGCCGTTTCAAGCTGAGACCCAGCATCTCAGTAGTAGAGCTTGAGGATCCAAGACATGCATCATCCCGCTCAAAAATATATTGCCTATATACTCATCTCCAGCGCAACCCCGTTAGTTCGAATCGATCAATCCACAACAACAGCGCACCAGCGCACCAGCGCACCTCGGCTATCCGATGCAATCGTCCTTCCGTGTCGGTGGACATGGTAAACATAGTACATAGAGTCCACCCGCACGGGGAATGCGGAGATTACCGACTTCCCAACCCGCAAGCCTGAAAATGATCAGAATAAGCGACTTAAGGCACTTAAGGCCGCATCTTCTCGACTAGTATTCTGATTCGCACGCTCATCATTTATTGACTCTCGCCCAAGCACCCCGAGTCGCCCGCTATACGACAATGATCATCTCCTGCAGAGGTCAGCAGTGGCGATCAGTGGTGATCACAGTGATGCCAGAGGTATCGCGGCCCAATTGATATGCGTAGGTTGGGAGACTTGGATTGGGATTGACATCACATGTTGTGTACTCCGTACTCCGTAAATGACAATCGAGGTGCGTCCGGCATATGGAGCTAGTTTATGCGATGCAACAGCAAAAGTGTCCGATGTGGAGTTATTGCAGATTTGTTTTACGGCCGGCCGGACGGAGTACTGGGTCTCTTGTTTACTGCATATATATATCCATGGAGATATGCAGATCCTGTGGGCGCTTGATAGGGTTATTTGTGGAGGAAATTAGGTACACATATATCTACAGATCTACTTATTGCTGGGTATATAAGGCCAGAGTCCAAGAATACCTCATGCATCTCCGGTGTCGGATTGCGGAGGGACCCTCTCATTCTCTATCGGGATGGACGGTTCTTAAAGTTCGTAGCGGCTCTATAGAGAGCAATGGCTTATAGAATGGGCACTTGCTCCGTTCAACCGAGACGCACCCGCCACACCTTCCCGAGAGCAAGGGATGAGAGAGCCAAACGGCTCGCGCATCCAGTCCTTGGAGGTATATTTTCTCTCTTAGATTCTCCGACGGCTTATCACGGGTGGGGATGGTGACAATGGAGGGAGGGGAACAGGATAATCTGATAGATCTAAACTCAATCCCAGTACTCGGCCGTCCCACGTTCGGATAGCCACTGGGGATACTGGGGATAATATCTCCGTGTTCCAAGCGCCATACTGTTGGAAATATGCACCACAGCATTGGGGTAGGATTCCAGATCCATCATTTTATTCAATGCGAAGAACTGGCCTTTGCAGGTGTGGCGGTAGCTGACCCAGGAATGGAAAGGCAAGGTGAGGTAGTGACCAAGTAGTAAGGGAGATCTTGCCTTGAAGCTGTTGCATCGCTGCATGCTGCATTCTAGGTGGCTGGCTGCACTGGCAAACATGTTAGTATGCGTGGGGATTTGGAATCCCAGCTACACAAGACGCACAACTGGCATACTATCTGGGGGATGCACAACAATGCAGTTGTTGCCGATCAGTTAAGCGGGACTCCTGGGACCAACCTTCGAAGAAGATTGAGTACTTCTGCTCATGTGCACGATCGATCAACGGTATATGTCGGAAATGCAAATATTAGGCCTACACCTTGTTCGCACTCGGTAGTGGCTCTCGCATTCTCGGCATATGCCACACTTCCAATATTATTATAGATGGAACCCTGGCCAAGTTGCAAAACTCAGAAACTCAGGAACATCCCTTTTATAAGATGGTATCTTCCCGCAAACTTTGGCGTGGATCCGACATCTACCCCAGTTCCTTGGAACTGGGTCTATGGAGAGAATCTGGGTCAAATTCCACGTGGTGTTAAAAATGATTGGACTGGAGAATATACCCATCGTAGAATTATTTACATTGTACTTCCTGCAACCGGTGTCTTACTTAGGAAACTGTTATGCGGTGCTGGCAGTGGGAATGTGAAAGGATTCCAAGAAGATGGGACGATAGGAACATATGCCAATCCTTTGGGCTTAAGGGTATTTGCATTAAACCTTGTAGGGGTCAGGGTCTAGCGGTGTGCATAGTGAGTAAGGCTAGGAATGTCGCAAGGATCGAGTCGAGCTCCACTGTCGCAGTATTATTGTTTTTAATTGAACGAGGGCGAAAGGTTAATATTGTACTCCGTATGCTATAAGGATATAATAATGTAATAACGGTAATTCTTCTATTATCTGTACCGTTTTAAGTTATAAAGTTCAATACTTGTTCCTGATTGACTCAATTGGAAATTCGCCCAGAACTCAGTGTGTTGATGCTTATATGGTCCTGGGCATACCATAAATATGACCGCTTGGGATTGACGGGCAAACCAATGGCGGACTTCCATAAAATCCAAAGAAATAAACCAGTATTCTGAAAGATTCTAGAGTGTTTCAAGATGTTCCGTTCGTATATTTTCTGACTCCAAAAATATTCTTTGATCGTCAGGACTCCACACACACATTTCCACGGCCACTACGTTAGCGCCCATTTTTGTGTACATGTCTGGACCAATGATTCTCTCGGTCTCTCTCATATACGGAGTATCCCATACGAGTACTCCGTATAATTATGGTCTCTACATATGTATCCACCCCTTGACCGATAATTAGGCTTCTTGAATTCCAGAATAATCTTTGTTAAGGTTGACCGCTTCTCAACCGATTCCTTCAGCAACCAAGAGACTATCCACTTGTCATATTGTTAACCGAGCCAAATCTTTCCCTGTCTGCAGCCTAACGGCCAACGGGTGTTCGGCATAACAATCTCGGTACAATCTCGGTAACCAGCAGAGAAGCCCAACTCGCAGATCTCATTCCTTTTGGTGGAGTTCACCAGTTCCTCCCCGATCTAGGACCCCTGGAGGTCGGGTCATGGGTGGAGTAAACTCCTATATACTCCCAATGACAATATTCCCTCTTTTTCCCGACGGCTCTTCCCGTTAACCTTCTACTGGGATCAGCGCCCTAGTTGTTAATATGCCCAGAGTTCCTGACCCATTTTCATCCCTCGTGATGTGTCGAACGTGGCGGAACAAGTAACAGGGATAAAGGAAATTCATCTCTGGTTTTATATTTAAAACCAATCATCTTCGTCTTTCCGAGCATCCCGCTTGTTTTATTATCGGCGTGTTATTTAGTTATTTTCCTATTTCTCACAGTACTCCCACCGTACTCCTTCTCTCGCGTCGCGTCTAACATACACCTCTCACCTGGACATCCTTGCCCTGTAATTACTCTATTCAAGCTCCGTGTTACATGAGCGTCAGCGTGTACTTTGCCTAATGTGTTGTCCTTGATTCCTTTTTTTCCCGATGGTGGCCGCATAAATGCAATCGACCAGCCCAGAAGAATCGGCCTTTGAACCGCCTCCCCAGACCTTTTCCACTCTAGGGGACAGGCAATATTCACCCAAGGAAGTGACCATGCCTGCTCAATCTAGCATTGCGGCCTCAGACTGGGGGCATTCTTACCCGTCAATCTTCCAACTCAACTCGGAAATCCCCGCCTTTTTCATGCATTATCGCTGGTGGGAAGACGAGGCGGCAACTGTGTTCTGGGCATTCGATATCCAAGAAATCAGCCGTGTGATCCAGTTCGGGCTCTTTCGCGATGAGAATTTCCCGAGGACTTCGCTTTGCGCTCGAAATGTGGACACAATTGACACCTTTTTGATGGCGTTGTCTGAGCCCCATGAGTACCAGCTCCTTGGGAATCTCTCTCATACGCAGAGGGTGGAGGAGATCCTGCGCCGGTCGAGTATATCTCCTTTCCAGGCGATTCCTTGGAGTTGGTTCCCACCGCAGTCAAGCCCTACTCTAGATGCGCGGGCAATCGCTGCCGCAATTGAGGCCGAGAGCCATTTCCACTTCAGGCAGGTTGCCTTTGAAGAGCTTATACGTGCTGCCCTTGGATACAATGCTATCTTCGTTGAGTGGTTCCTGCAACAGCATGCGGCGCTTTATATTATTCTCCGGGATTATCTGAGCGCCTGTCCGGATGACATTCCTTTATACACAGAAGTGGAAAAGGTACGTTCTTTATATTCCTCGGCTATAGTCATCATTACATCTATAGATAGAGCCTCAGCTGACTTCTATAGCATCTTCGGTCGCGGAGTCCATTCGCACACCGAGCGCTGGTCCAGTGCCTTCTGGCTGTGCGACCTGGCGGAAATTGTGACGTGCCTAAACCCAGCACCGCTGGGTTTGAATTCATCGCAGGCCCTATTCAGGCCTTATTCAAGGACCAGCCAGGAAGGCTTAATGCCATGCTCAAGATGTTAAGTGTTTTGACAATCCGATTTCGCCGACAGTATGTCCATGCTGCTACCATGGATTGGAAGACTCCATTTGATACCTCTATTCCTTTCCTGGACGATTATCTCGAGTCGACATCTCCAACGAGCTTGGCCCGCAGCATGAGAGGCCTGGACGAGCACCATTTTGCCGAGTTGACCCAGCAAAGCTTAATAGCAGAGGATGCTGTCGTGGGGCAATTGAAGGTACAGTGGCGCGAACTAAGTGTTTCTGTCTGGGAATGCTGCGCTGCACTTCCAGACCTGATTCCGTATCTACAAGAATGTGCACAGGTGAGCAGTCTTTATTTCTCCCAAAGTCGCCGAGATCCCAAAATCAGCCCTCTAACCGTACAACCATCTGGACAGTCGCTCTTAACAACACGTAATTATCATTCTTTCACGGCTGTCATCAAAGGCCTGCACACCTACAGCATCTTGAAAACGCGCCCCGCCCAAGGGAACACGATTACACCCGAGGCCCTGTTTCCACAAGAAATGCTTTCCCTCGTGGACCCATCTCAGAACTTTGCCGCCTATCGCCAGCACTACCAACAATTCCCTGGCATTCCTTTCCTGATCCCCCACATCCGCGATCACAAAGAAAACGGCGAATCCGTCCTCCAGCCAGTTATCCAGTGTCTGCAAAGCACCCAATAGACACACAGAGGTAGCCACCGGATCAGCAGCCTGCTTAGGCTCCTCTCCAGCTTCGGTGAGAGAATAAAAAGCAACCTACCTGTGTGCTTGGCTTGTGTGGCTGCAGGTGGTGAGACCGCCTGGCGAGGGCCGTGGGCTAAATATCGTTCCAATTTTTTATCTTGCCGGTCAGCAGCTAATGCATCGATGGTGTGTTTTCCTTGGCAGTCCTACGAGGGGGTGATCTACACCAGATGACGACCTCAAATGCTATATTTTATGATCTGTATTTCTACTCTGATACACATGCTAGCATCGGGCAGCACCAGGGCGTCCGGCGTCGCATTATGCTAATATGAATCTATTTTTCTTTTTCCCCCGGTGAGATTCAAGGTCCTATTTACACTTGCATAACAGTGGACACTCATTGGATCCGAAACCGTAACCAGATCAGTCCATCTCCATAATCCCCAACGCAGCCAGGCAAATACAAGCATACCATCAGATCCACCCAGCCACATCCCACGCACGATCCTATCTCCCTTTTGCGCCGATCCGGAACCTACGAATCAAATAGAACCCATTACATCCGAAGAGCCGCCTCAGGCAAGAGTAGAGCCAAAGTTAAACCGCGCAGATATGCAGTCTCACGCACACGCAAGGGAGGGAATGGGGATGAGGGTGAGCCAAAGACCCCGCCCAAAGTTTCTTTGCTTTTTTTTTTACCAGAAAAGGACAGAGTGCATATAACTATTGGTCGGGCCAACCAAACGAGCAGGTCACACCTCACTCCCGTTTTGCAGCCGCCTTAGGCGCCTTCGCATAACCAAAAATGCCCAAGAAATAAGCGATCCTATTGACGAACAGGAACGTCGTGATCCCGATATTACCCCAGGTCAAAGCGTTCCATGCCGCAACGTCTGCAAACGCGTCCCAACCCATCGCCAAGTACGTGGCGTAGACATGGCCTACATCGGCGATGGCCAGCCCGATTAGATAGTTGCGCAGTACTCTTGGCTCTGTTGTGGCGTGGCAGACACCCACACCGACTAGGAAGAGGAGGGAGTAGACATTGCCGAGTTGGTAGGCGAGAGCAACGCTGCTTGGGTGTAGGGTGGCTGGTGCTGCGATGGTGGGTGTTTGGCCGGCGATAAAGCCTTGGAGGTCGTAGAGGGGGAAAACACTGCCGAGGGCCCTGCAGTAAGGATGGTAGGGTCAGTAGTATTCTTGCATGATTGGGGGAAAGGGTTGAGCTGGTCGTACAGTGAGATAGGCTCAAGGACGCCAAAGAGGATGTGTGGCCATGTTGGGAAGATGGTGGGCATTTTGAGGACCTGTGGGCGTTTAACGTTATTCTTGTTTGTGTCTTCTCAATTAGTGCGCTTTGGTCCTGACTGTGATTCTCTCGGAGCGGTCTGCATAAACAAAGCTCTCCGTAGCTTTACTTCCGCGGAGAAGAAGGCCACTCACGTTTCAGTTGCTAACCACGACAAGTATCGAGTATAGAATGTCAATTGTATGATAAAATCCGATCAAATCAATGAGCGGAGTCCAATGGGGGATCCTTGGCAAGGGAATTGCCAGGGGATCTCGACAGAATGCCAGCTGACGTAGACACACCCAGGCCCGCTTTATTGGCACCCATCACCGCCCGGACCCGTTATCGCATGGATCTTATCAGAGCTTCATCTTCTGACCCCCGAAGTCATGGACGCGACATGTCAGGGATACCCAGGGTGACATGAAATCTGCGGTAGTTGGCCGAAATGGAATCTGCGAGTGTCTTGCGGCCTCTCGATGAATCACAGCTCCGCGAACTCCCTCAAATCTCTCTCCGTATCGCCCCTCTACGAGAACCAGTATCATCACGAACCCTAAGCGTCCCATCGCCGCTCGAACCCAATGCTAGTGGAGCACGGGACTCGAATAATATCTCCAATTCAAACAACAATAGCGGGCAGATCCCAGCAAATGCAAAGGGAGGCCTGCCGACGGTTACGGAATTTCTGAACGCTGCGCGCATCAGGAAAACCGAACTCTCGGCAGACTCGCAGTCAAATGTGGAACGTCCGCCGAGGCCGATACTTCCTGCTTTTGTGAACCTTCGTGCCCTGGAAAAGTTTCCATTCTCGTCATCTTTCGATGATGACGCCCTCCAAGGGCCTCGCAAGCGTCGACGTCGAGAGCCCCAGCCTGATTCATTCAGCGAGCATCTACAGTTACCTATCCCCCAGGCCCAGAAGGAGCAGCGGCCTCCTCCATTTGGGCCATTTGCTATTCTAAATGGATTGAATGAGCCTCCTCCCAATGCTGCGCTTCTCCCACCCATTGAGGCTGGGTCTAATATCTCCCAGCTTTTGACTAAGCCCTCCGGAGGCGATGCTGCTGTTGACCCTGGGACGTTGGTTTCAGCTCACGTCGCGATATCAGATGGCCAGCCTGCGGAAAGACGAGATACTAGACTGGAAGAAATCCTCAGAACGTCCCTCAATGTGGATGGAGAGGACCATAATGATGATGTTGATAATGTTGAAAGTACTAACCCAGTCGATCCTGATGATATTGCCCTGTCTGTTCGTGAAGCAGAAAAACCCAAGAACAGTAAGGCATCGCCACCACCTCCTGGGGAAAATGCCCCAATGTCTCCTAAAACTCGTGGCCGGTCCCGTAAAAACATGAGAAAGTGGTCCGAAGAAGAGACGATTACTTTACTTCGGGGCGTGGTCAAATGTGGGATTGGCAACTGGACTGCTATTCTTGCTCAGCCGGAACTGGAGTTTAACCAGCGAACTGCCTCAAATTTGAAAGACAGGTATGCTCGGTTCTTCGCCAACTGTATGGTCTTATGCTAAAGCTGCGCTATGCTGAAGATTCCGAGTCTTATGTCCATGGGCGTACAGGTAAGCAATGCGAATGTCCCTCTGAAACCACTTAATCAGAATCGCTAATATTCCCACAGCGCATCCGATCCCAACGAAGCCGCAAAACAACTACATGAGACTCTCGCTAACACCCTACTCAAAGCCAAAGCAGAGGGCTCCGGCGAAACACCTGGCAAAATCAGCCTCTCCCATCTAATACCCTCAAATCAAAGCCTCCAGCCAAACTCTCGAGGAAAAAGCCCGGCTTGCAATCCGCAAAAACCCTCTATGTCCCGTACCGTCTCATCCACGCCCGACACTGATCCCGGGAGTAGTAGCATTGCCCAATCACAGTCGCCCTCATCAGGGAATAGCACACCCGCTCTCTCGAGCAAGTCCCGCATAGCACTGGAATCTCTTGGAATCCCGGAACCACATGTCTCAAAAACCAAACGTCGCTCTCGGCGACCCTTCACAACCGCCGAAGATGAAGCTCTCCTCAAAGGCTACGCAGTGCACGGCTTCCAATGGACCCTAATCCAGCAAGATTCACGCCTGAACCTAAGCCACCGCAAAGCGACAGACCTCCGCGACCGCTTCAGAACCAAGTTCCCACACGCCTATCGTGACGGCGGTTCCGTGAGCGGAAAAGCCCTTACCAACCAAAGCCAGGCCCAGGAGTCGGCTGTAGGCGCGTCGACCCCCCGTCCACATGCTATCAACACCGAACAATCTCCAAGCAAGGTCTATGCCATGACTCCGACTTCGACTCCGGCTACCACGCCTCGCACATCGGTGTCGAGGAGTCGTCATGCTGCTACCCCTTCCCAGTCCAATCTCGCCCAGATTGATCCTGCGCTCTTGCCGCCGCCTCCACAGGCCTTTTTGGAGCATTCGATATATCTTCCTCCTGCTGCTGCGGGTGTGCTTTCTTTCTCTCTGGATGATGGCTCTGGGGCGGGTGCCTCTTCCGCGGTGGAGACACCGTGGGAAGATAATACCCTCGCTCCTATGATTTGGGATGAATTGACCTAATCAGGGCCAAGCATTGGGTTCGCTATGTGGCCAAGGCATGTCACGAATTTTTGAATATCTTTTGGTATCTTCTCTTAATATTTTTTTCCCTCTTTCTTGTTTCATTTTCATTTTCGTTTCCATTTTCCATTTTTTCCCGCTTTTGCATTTTTGGTGCTCTGTGGAGCATTACTATATCCCTTTCAATTTTTCTTCTGTTTTCATTGTTGATTGATCTATATCCCGCAGTACACGCTGGTTTTTGCTAAAGTTTCTATTCAATAAAGTTTTTTCTTTTCATAGTTCAATGTCATTAAAATCAAATTGACACTAAGGAGAAAGATATGCAACGAGTCTGGTATTCTCACTATGGACAAGGATAGCACCACGAAAGATGAGATCAAAATGAAATAATGATGATAAGTTGCTGGGGAAAGAAAAGAAAAACTAGGAAAAAGCGCCTGTCCAACTAAGACAACAAATAAATCTGTACTTGCTGTAGCTGCATCTGATTGAAAAGAAAGAAGTGGTGAATTCGGATATCAAACGAGCACAAAACAAATTCAAGTAATGATCATCACATAGCATACACTGCGGGTACCGATTTTCAATCGCGAAAGATATCTGCCATGGAAAGGATATGAAAGTTAGGAGTGGGAGAAGAAGGAAGGGTGGCTAGAGGAGAAGGTGAGAAAGGAAGTCTAGAGAGGCCGAATGCAAGGCCCATCCACTCCAGAGAAATGAGGCATGCTTCTCGTGAATGAACTAATAGTAAAGGCAATAGTCATCTACCACGCATTGCGGTCCCAGTTAGGATCTGTGGAATGAGCATTAGCATAAGTTCAAGAGTAATCTGCACGAGTGACTAGAATAAGCCCACCTTGTATGTAGCTAGCAAGCACCTTACTCCCCGTCTGCAGAAGAGGGTGTCCAGCGACGATCTGGAGGAAGCGCTGCAGACCCTCGCGGCGGTGCTCGATGACGTCGTCGCTGAACCGGTTGGTGAAAACCTTCCCGGGGAGCGGGGGTATAGTGACGCGCGTGCTCTCGCGCTCCAGGATATCGCGGAAATACTCGAAATCGGAGTACCGACGGCGCACGACGGAGTGTTTCAATTTGAAGGCGGGAATGTTGGTCCGGCACACAATCTCGTACGACGTGTACATGTTGCGAGATGTGCCATGGGTCTGGGGGTTGCGGACCTGTTGCAGCCATTGTTAGTCTGGGGGGTCCGTTCTTGCTGCCCGATGTGATGCGGGTTTTGGGTGGGGATTATGGGGGCTGATTAGGGGAGAGATATGGGCACGAGACTCTGGGGTATTGGGGTAGGTGATTAAATCGGGTGTGGGTATTGGGCGTCGTATATCAAGTAACTCACTTCTATCTCGAGGAAGTTCTCCGGGGGTCCGTAGATCTCCTCGAAGGACTGCTGTCGCGATTCTGGGACGGACTGCATCGTGGTGGGGTCGGGGTGATGGAAAGTTGAGGGGAGGGCGAGCGGGCTGTTATATTATAGATGCCCAGATTGGGAGTGTTATTCAATTAGACAGCTTGTCTCACTCTAATTCCCTGGAACTGAACACCACAGAGCAGATCCTAAGGAACCCGAGCTTGGAAGTTGGAGAAGCATCTCTATCAGTGGGGACCGGGGAAATAATTGATCCGCCCTTTTGGCTTATCTTCCTGACAGCCGTTTCCTTTGACGTTGCATGCATCCATGGATGTATACACCGGTTGTTAGGCACTTATTCTGATTTTCTTGTCTAATATTTTATGGAGGATCCCTCCTACTACCTGATGCTGACTCCTATTCAGCTCTAGCGTCCTAGACATCCGCAAAACCATTCTAGTCCTATCGGTCAAGTCTACTAGATGATTCACCCCCCCACAAAGAAATCTGCGGGCCCTCTTAAGATATTCTAGCTAGCACTTAGAAAATTCCTTATCTAACTAAATAAGTCCCATAGTTCTTCCTATGAGACCTCTCATGCTATCCACATCTTATTGAGACAGTCTGACCACAAAAGCAGAGCACCTTGAGCAAGCACGAGAAGATTGATTGACAGAATAGTCTACTGGCTTACTACCACAAGGCCCAAAAAATACTATGCTATCTCAAAATCCTGCGGATGCCCCCTTTCAGCCCCCCATCGCTGCATCCCCTCGGTCAGCGCACGACTAAATCCTGCATGATATCGCATTCCGTTCTCCGGCCATGATGGTCGCCCAGCTCTCCACACGCTCCAGTTCTCAGCCATAGCACCTTCAGGCGCGCGCAGGATTCCCATCGCCACATCTACAATCTCCGGTCGCCCATCGTAATGATAAAAGACAGTTGCGCCACATGTGCCGCAGAATACCCGGAGTACGCCTTTCGAGGAGCGATAGCCCTTCGCTGACCCGATCAATAAGTCATTCGGCAGATGCGGCGTGATATGATCAAGTGATACGAACATCCAACTGATGACGTGCGTTCCAGTGACCAATCGACAGTCGTCGCAGAGATCCATAGTTGCAAGCCACTTTGTCTTGTCCAAGGGTGAAGTCCATCCTTTGCTTAGAGGGCTTGCGACGAATTTCTGGCTGGGCCGGGCAATGGTGAAAGAGACCCCACCGCAATGACACTGCGCGAGGAGCTCTTTGCTCTCGGCATCAGGTGGCTGAGAATCGCTCCCAGCTATAGCCTGCGGTGATAGGCCTAGATTTTCGGTCTCCATTCGATGTCCATCAATAACCGAAAACACAGCTGCTAGTCCTCCATCCGCTGCAGAATTCGGAAGCATATGGGCGTTGAACTTCCAAATGCCTTCATCTTCTCTATTCGCATCGAAGATTGCGGGAGATATTACCCATTGACCATCAACTCCTCCAATCTGGCAGCCGCAAGTGCTGCAGAAATAGCCCGTCGCTTTTGACGCCGGGTGTCGATAACTAGTCAGTTTATTGGGGCCGGACGGTGCAATAAATTGAGGCTCCACGCCAGATGGTAGCGGTGCGTGAAAGCTGCATGGTGAACCGTGGGTGTAACGACAGATGCTACATTGGCACAAGTGTACTTTCAAGGGAAAACATTCGGTGGGGACGGTGACAGTAAACTGGACAGTCTTGCAGAGGCACGAAGCCATCAACGTCTTCGTAGCCATCTTTGCTTCACAAAATGAGAAGTCCTTAAAGCACTACTAGGAAGCGGGGGCGCCGGGGTAGTGCCTATTTGTGGTGAAGATCGGTTGCACGGGCCAGGACGCAAGGCTCGTATTCAGAGTCATTGGCGAAGTAGCCCGCCAGCTATGTCTACATGTATCTTTTTTTCATACAATATAGAGTCGCAGATATCTAAAAATATCATCTTCGCCTAGTGTACCAAATTCGTCTCTTTCCTACGCTTTGTCTGCGATGACATCAATTGTCCCAATTATAGCCTGGGTATCCGTGTATGTAGGTATCTGTTACCGCTAGCATGAACTTGATCTAATGACTATGCCCTGTAGTTCGGTTCTGAAGAGCCTCGAGAGATCTCCTATGTAGTGCACAATGCGATAAAAGGCCTATAATGAATGAATGACAAACCTAATGAGAGGCCTAAGAGACAACGTTCTCTTCATCCTGTCTGACTGATACTCTGGTCATTATTGGCCCGGTGAAGGATCGCTTTCCATAAATGCTTCTTGCATGCACAAATGCGGGAGCACGCTCATGATGTCATAGTCCTATGTCGTCCGAGATTTAGAACCTATAGGATATAGCAGTATAATTAGATTCATAACCTGAAACGGATCTTGTTCCCACGCCAAGCCTCTTCATATAAACCCTCGTATCTTCGTGGCGATGCGAAATTTTCAACCACGGTTGATCAGGTCCCCACAAGCAGCAGATTGGAGATTGGATAAATATTCAACTGCAAAAGTGCGCATTTTTGTCTTCTAATAACTTCCCTTTAATAGGAGCCTTGGTTGTCTGGGGCTTGAATACGAGCATCAGTGACGATTGTGTCAGAATGACCTGTATATTATGTTCTTTCTTGGTGATCTCTTCTCCGTATAGCGATTAACGTCTTCGTGTCAGTGGAGAAGCTTGATGGATATATAAAATTCTAATTCACCTTCTCAAAGTCTTGTACTTAACCAAAGTCAACCAACCTTGTATGAATTTCAACACTAGCCAAGGCTCAAACAATTATCATGCATCTTTCCAACCATTTGATTCTTTTCTCTACTCACCTTGCCCTAAGCAGTACGTAACCATTCTAATGTCGCCTTTACATGAGAACCAAATATTAATCTCTCCACATGTTCTAGTCGCAGCCGGGTGCGGCGATGCTGATGCCTGCATTGGAACCGAGTTCTGCACCACCGCTACTTTCACAACCCCAATTGCAACTACCATCACAACCTGTGTACCTATAGCAACATGCCTAGGAGTTTACGGCAAGTTTTAAACCATACGTTTATCGAACTTAGTTCTGACTGTTATTAGCGGATTGTGAGTCCGGTGGATCGGGCCAAATCTGCTGCTCCACATACTGTGCGGCCACGAAATGTCGGTCAACTGACCCAGACTGGCCGAATTGCAAGGAGGATAATGGCCCATGTCTGGCGGATGAGAACTGTTGTTACGGGAACAAGTGTGTGAATGGACTTTGTACTCGACCTTAAGTGGACGTCCAGCAGAAGACTTATACTGAGTTTGCTTTTGATCCTTGCTGGAGTTCACAAAGGAGTCCGAAATTAACTGTGCGTTGAAGGCTTGGGTTACCAAATAAGGTACTGTAAATGATTACGTGCGTTTAATGCAACACTTGAATATCAAATTCCCTTGACTACTTGTGATCCTAGTAATAATAGCCTTATCCATTTCTACGCTACAGTTAGGTAAAAAGAGAATTAAAGAAAAACAACACTGGCGGCTAAGTCAAGATAATAATATAACGATATAATTTGTGAACTTGTGTTTGAAATGCAGATATCGGGAGGGAACTTCAATTCGTTGCAAAGGAGAGGTCTGAACCAGGGTTTGGCATGGGTTTGGCTCCCCGACGTAGGTATGATATCTGTATAACATGCACATACAAAAGCCAGAGCTGCATTCACCATACGCTTCTGCTTTCCTGCATCTAATGTTCCACCTTGATTCTTGAGGGTACATTGTGTACTATACTTGAATGATGTGATTCAATCACACCAAAGCCACAGGGCTGGAGCGGGTGACACCAACTGGGTGACACAGCTGTAGGCGAATTCATATTGTAAAGCTCCCAAGGTTACTCCGGAAGGTGTAAGTGCTGAACAAGTCAATGCTCCAGCTTTGTACCTAGTTATTCTGGAGATGCTTCCAACCTTGGAAGGTTGTTGAAGATATTAGTCAGTGCGCCGACGGTCGATGGATCCATCCATGGACGGATATATCCATATTTTGATCATGACCTGGAGGTCTTTGCATCGCCCCAATGTAAGACAAATTATTATGTATTTTTTTAATATTTCTATACTATGTAATCTATTTGCAGAGAACCTCGGAATGACTTCCTCCATTGGAGGACGAATTCTCTAAGGATACGGAGGCGGCCTTTGAAGATCTTGGCAACAATCTTGGCCGCTATCGGTGTTAAGCCTCGGAGTTAAGGCGATGACATAACCCAAAACCAGCCCGTGACCGAGGTCGGGACTTATCTATGTATCGATAAGCAACATGTCTCCTCATCTGCAACTACCAATACGAGATGAGTTCAAGGACACCTGATAATGGGGGAGAATCTCCAAGGGGCTCAGAAGGAATTTGGCACCCCGCCCGCGAATGGTTGGAAGACGACGAGCTGGATACAGAATACCACCCCGCGTTAGAGCCGTCCGAGCACGATGGCGCATGGGAGGACGACATATCCAATGAAGATCAGCAGATGGGCTCGGGGGTTGCAAGTGGTAGGACTAAAACCCAGGCCCTCAAAATAGTATACAAATGGACTAACCGCTTCGTTGTGATAGACAATAACCACATCAGCATCGGAAACATCCAAATCCAACTTACAGCGGACGACTCGGAGAGCGAGGACACAGACGATTTAAATGAGGGACACACCCGCGGTACGTTGTGCCTGGGATTCTCGAAAGGTATTAGTACAATTGCTCATAAATTACAGTGCCGGCTTCCCGATTATTCGAGTTGCTTGCATCCAGTGGTTTACAACATATCCTCCAAGCCAATGGTTGGCCAACCGCCTTGGAAGAAGAGCAGGAGCAGCCGGAAAATGAAGATGACGAGTTAAGCGACGAAGATTTTATGCCAATATTCCGAAACCGCCTCCGAGCTAGACGATCCACAGAAACGCTTAAACTGCCACCGGTTCCTAACCCAGAGGGCAAGAAGTTGATGAGCGAAGGTCATTTCGGAACTGACCAATTCTACGGCGATCGGCTAAGACAGCGGAAGAAATTTCTAACGACAAGCCTGATGTGGCGAGAACTAGGCATTGATACCGATGGAGTGCGGAAAAGAGCCGGCCAATCTATCTCTCAGGTAAGCCGATTGTATAGATGGCACACGGAGACTACAATAACAAGCAGGACTAACTCATACGTTTGGCGCCTACTAGGGCCTCATTCCAAGTTCGATTGCAGACAAGATCATTCACTATGACACGCGAAGTTATTCAGGCCAGTTCTCAGATGATGGGAATTTCTTTTTCTGCTGCGCGCAAGACTTCAAGGTTCGGATGTACGACACATCTAATCCGTACGACTGGAAATACTACAAAACCGTCGATTATCCGTTCGGTCAGTGGACTATCACCGATGCGACGCTGAGCCCCGACAACCGCTTCCTTGTCTATAGTTCAATACGAAGTCAGGCATATATGGCTACCACAGACCCAGAGGACAAGTCAGATCCCACTGTTTTAGATCTATCTACTCCACCGGGTCAGAGGAGAAGGCGAAGCTGGGGTAGTTCACACTTCGGGGTATGTAAAGTGGGCGCTTTAATTGGAATTTCAATGGTTAACTTGGTCCATTTTCAATAGATTTGGTCTCTTCGATTCTCTGGAGATGGACGTGAAGTTGTCGCCGGCACATCAGAAGACTCGGTTATCGTTTATGATCTGGAAACACGACAACCTGTTCTAAATCTACGAGATCGGCATCAACATCATGTCAATGCTGTATGTTATGGCGACACGTCATCACCGCACATCCTGTACTCTGGATCGGATGACACGACAATCAGGGTTTGGGACCGGCGGTCAATGGGCGATGGGCGTGAAGCCGGCGCCTTTATGGGCCACACCGAGGGATTAACGTACGTTGACAGCAAGGGCGACGGCCGATACGTCTTATCAAATAGCAAAGACCAAACAATGAAGCTTTGGGATCTGCGGAAGATGATGACATCCGCCGATATCGAAAACATCGACCCCATCGACTACTCAACCGGCTTCGATTACCGCTTCGAGCAGTATCCAGACCAGTACCGCAGAAATGCCAAGAATGACTGCTCTGTCGTTACATATAGGGGCCACCGAGTCCTGAAAACCTTGATCCGCTGCCACTTCTCGCCACCGGGAAGCACGAACTCGCGCTATGTTTACAGTGGGAGTGAGGATGGCAAGGTTTATGTGTACAACTTGGATGCCACACTAGCCGGAACCATTGATGTTGGCCAAGCGACATTTAACTCGCGACCGCGTGATCCAGATGCCTATGCTACGGCATATGAGATGAGTGGGGAGATGCTGTGGAGGACTTGCGTTCGCGATGCAAGCTGGCACCCGAGTGCGCCAGTACTAGCAGGTAGGATCTATATCCCGGAACGTTGGTTCCAGTAGGCGTTGCTAATCCTGTATTCAGCAACTTCTTGGAATGGCTGGGGCTTGTCTACTGGCACTTGTACTGTGCATTCTTGGAATGCCGGTGCTGCTAAAGACGAGGGGGATCCACCCGCTGGCAAGAGTTATGACGACAGACTACGATACATCCCTGAGTTCGACCAATATCGCGAGAATGCACCGCATGGTCGACCCCGGCGTCCATTGCGCAGTCGGCCTGTTCGTCGATGGGTCGGTGATGAAGAAGCAGAGGACGCAATATGGTAAGGATGATTGGTCTTTTCGGTCCAACAAAAGCATTCGAAGCTAGCTTTTGATTCTGCACATCTTGGGAGTCCTTTTTTGATGTATCTTTGCACATTATATACTCGGTTGGAAAAGCCACATTTCTGTTGACGAATGCAGTACGTCATTTCGTCCAGTCCACCACTGTAGATATGATTCCAGGCTGTTCAGAAGCCCAATATCAAGAACTTGCAGATACGAAGAAGTGCTTCAAGTGTATAGATTAAGTAAAACAAGGACCCCTATTGATACAGGATGCGAAAAAGAGTGGTATCTCATAGATAGCGATCATGCTCTGCTTCCTATCGCTCGCCAAAAAAAGCGCCAAGTGTGACCGCCACGGAAATTCAAACGTAAAGGAAAAAATGCTCTGCAGTGTGGGAAAGCTCGAAGCCCAGGCTTGTTTGGGGAAGGTCCGCGGGGTAGGTCATAGTGCGTAGGCGTGAGCGGTGGTATTCATGGGTTTGCATATCATTCAAGATACGCCGATACCGCTTCTTATCGTCCTCCATATTTTCCCATCCGCAGGCTTTCTCGTGAGCAACTGTTTCCATCTCCCGCGACTTGCGCCAGATGGATTTAAGCGTCCCCTGGGAGTACCTCTCCCTTAGGCGCCACCGACCAGAACTTGGTTAACGGGAATGTGGACTGCAACAAGCAGGTTAGTACAACAATATATGCAATCTGCATGCGCAGACTGAGATCCGCATTTTAACACATACTCAGCTTAACGAAGTAGCCAATGGCTCCCTGTCGGCGATGTCAGTATTCCGTCTTGAAACGCGATCCAGGCGCTGTCACAATGGCACATACCATGACAAGGAAACCCATGCCAACAGCCTGGCTGATCTTGATGAATTCGCGCTTGTCGGCTATTGTAAAAGTCAGCATTTCAGAGGACTGGCGAAATGACTGCCGATCAACATACGCTTGGTGCAGCGGCGAACAAATTGGGAACCCTCCCGGACGAAGTCCTTAGGGATATCGGCAAGCTCTTGGAAAGTCTCAGACATATCGGCGAAGATTAAGGAATATGAAAAAATATAAAGAACTCGAGGAGAAGAGGTCGCAACGAATAGAGAAGAACAGGTGGTTTCTCCGGGAATGACCAATTGGCCTTCTGGGGCCGGGGAACTGGAGAATATTTGTTCCACTCCAAGGTCTGGGCCGTCCGTCTCGCCCTCATTGCCATCACGCGCGCAACGACATCGCCGTCGCTCACGCTCAGTGTTGTCCTTAAGATCTGGCGAACTCAAAATAGTCTTGATTGACCGAGATTTGTTTCCCGCCATTTCTCTCGGCGTCGCGCGTTCATACCCCTGGCTCGTTTCCCTTCACTGCCTTAACTCCTGTGTCTCTAACCAAACTCCCCCCATTCGTGACTCTTCGTTATTCATTGCCTGTCTGTGGCAAGCTTCTCTTCTCTTCTCCCTCTTTCCACTCTGTATCTGTGGAACAAGCCTGATTCCCATATCTCTGTACACCGCGTCTGCAACTCGCGCAAGTCTTGTTTCTACCGGAAGCGCTTCCGTGCTTCGGATTGTACGTATTGTCTGGCCTCTTTGATTTCATGTCTGTCCTTCCTATGTTACCCTTCGGGGCCTTGGCCAATTTTCCGTTCACTTTCGTGAGGACTTTCCAACGGGCTGTTGGGAGCTAATCCGGGAATCGCGCTACCCCTACACTGACTGCGGTTTCTTTTTTGAATGATGTTTCCTCCGTGCTAATTGGTGGCTTGTGTCTGCAGACATGCACTTTTCTTGAGTTGCTCAAAAGCGGAAAGGGTCAAGAAGAAGAAGGGCCTGTACTATCGAACATCAGATACTCAGGCAATTTCAATCATTTCTTTGAGGTCCAATCCCCTGAAGAGGATACTAATTTAGTTCGCGATGGCTACCGACGACGATAACTTCGACATTGACATCTACGGCGATGGCACTTACAATGCCAATGAGCCGGCGGAGTTCAAGCAGGATGATTCGGAGCTCATCCTGGATGCTCCCGAGAATCAGCCTGAGCCCAGCACCGGATCATCGAACACCGTCAAGCAGGAGATCAAGCAAGAGAACCCTACTCCCGCTCAGAGCCAGCAAATGAACAACAATGGAGCTCCATCGGCGCCTCAGCAGACGACACCCCACCATGGTCTGCCTGCACCCCCGCAGGGAGTCAAGCGTAAGGAATTCGAGGACCAATCCGTTGATCCTGATGCCACAACTGCATTGCTGATCTCGGATCTATCCTGGTGGACAACCGATGACGATATTCGAGGCTGGGCGAACCAGGCTGGAGTCGAGGACCAGCTGAAGGATGTGACCTTCAGCGAGCATAAAGTGAACGGCAAGAGCAAGGGGTAAGAACATTCTATACTCGGTCGCGAATAAATATAATATCGAGCGTTGATACTAACATATTAAACCCCGACAGTCAAGCATTCGTTGAGTTTACCACAGCGCAGGCGGCGACTGCAACTAAGCACCACATCGAAAGAAATGATGGTCCCGCGCGCAGGCACACTGTGCAATACACCAGCCCACACCAAAACCCGTTTAAGACTCTCCCTAAGGATACTCCGATGCGCAATGCTGGCGGTCGCGGCGGCGGCGCTGCCCACAGCACTGGCAACTACGGCATGAACAACCACACTGGTGGCGGATTCCGCGGCCGAGGCAGCTTCAGCCGCGGCATGGGTCACATGAACAACTTTAACAACCGCAACAACTTCAACCCCATGGGCGGATTCCAAGGTGGAGCTCCCAATCCCATGATGGGTGGCTTCCAGGGTGCCCCTATGGGCGGCATGCAGAACTATGGATTCAACAATCGCGGCAATATGATGGGTGGTGGTATGCGTGGTGGCGGTATGCGCGGTGGTCGTGGCGGAAACATGGGCGGTGCTCCGAACATGATGGGCATGCCTGCTATGACTCCCCCCATGGGTGGCATGGGCATGAACCCGATGGCTGGTATGAACCCCATGATGGGCGGCGGCATGGCAAGCGGCATGGGAGGCAACATGCCAATGCAAGGTAAGTGATTCCGATATACATAATGGCCATTCCTTCCGTTCCTCAATCCTGACCGTCTTCTAGGACAGCAAGGTTTCCAGGGCCCCAACCCCGGATTCAATCAGGGCTACTACAACCCTAACAACCCCAACAATCAGGCCAGTGGCTCCGACGGTGGTTCCTGGAACCCCCACGGCGCGAAGCGTAGCCGGCAAGACTAAGAGACACGACGAGACTAAGAAACACACCGTCGTCTTGCTTTGGGAATCACGAGTCATTTGGCTCTGTGATGTCGCTAGCCTGTTGCTAC